TTCTTTACATCTTTTTGTTTCCTCTTTCCTGTTACTATTTGATAGATACTCTAGATCCACTTTCTCTCTTCATGACTTTTTTTACTTTCTCCTCCCCTCCATTCTATTTCCCTCCCATTTTTTTCTGTCCTCCTGTCAGTGTCGTCCCATCGGTGTCAGACCTCCCAGGTGGGCACAGACACAGGTAGATAGATACCATGGTGGGGAGCTTCGAGGCTGTCGGCTTCCTGACGCCTGACCTGCCCCCCGCCCCCCGTGCACGCTCACACACACCTCGCCTCAGGGGGGTCAGTGTCATTGTTGACATTGGACACACGGTTGTCTTGGTGCAATATTAAATCTTCTCATTTGATTTGGACTATAATTATGTCGTAAAAACAAACTGGCTGTGAAGCTGTGGCCCGCCAGTGTGATCTACTTTCATCAAGTGCAGACTGGCTTAATTATAGAGTGCGCCGTACACCCATCTTTCACTGGGCAGCTTTTCCTGCTGCTTCTTTAAGCCATCACATTCTTTTATTGTGTGTTAATCACAAGGCAATTGGGCCGTTTGCAGTGGCTGGGGGTAGATTTTAACACTGGTCTGTACACATCCTGCATGCTCTGGAGGAAAAAAAAGACTCATGTTAAGAATTGTGCATAGCATTCGTCTATTTTCGCGGAATACTTAATGATTGGCTTTCACTCACACAAAGATATTCAAATGCTGAAAAATGCTGACAATAAAGGATTTGGTGTTCTTTGTGTCAGCCCTAGTGCGAGTAAAGACAGATAAAAAGGTAGCCTGGACAATGGATGACCAAATCTCATTAAAGAAATCACAAATGTGGATGCCTGCAAATAAAACTTCCTCGTTTGGCCACTTGGATGTTTCTGTTACATTATTTTAACAAGAAACCGTAAATCACTTGAAGAAATCACACTCAGTATGGAGAGCTATGAATGTTACGAGCAGCTGATTTCCTCACTGCCATGGCTTTTTCAGCCAGACATTTAAATTCCATGTTTATTTAAGCCTATTTTGCCACATTGGCCACATGGCTTAGTGTAACCAGATTTCATCTTCTTGCCGGCTTGCACAGGAGGATACCAGATGGTATGGAAGGTGGCAGCATGTACAAACCCCAGGAAAAATATTTTCTACAACAGTTGGGGCATCCATTTAAATGCAAACCAACATCCATAGTTTCACACTTAATCTTTCAGCTTGGTTTAATGCCAAAAAAACGAGTCAAACGTTTAACAAACCTACCTACTGTCTAGTTGAAGCCTAAGGGTTTCAAAGGCAAAGTAGAACTAAAAAAGTCATACAAGTTACACCCTGACTTCATTAGTAAATCAGCTGATAACTGGTGGGTTTATAAACAGACAAAAAAACTTTACTAAAGGCTCAGTATTTAACTAGTTTGGATCATTTTCCATTTACCAAATTGTGCTGATCTTTGAAATCAAACTGATATTTTGAAAAAAAAAAAATAGTTTCAAAGCACAGATAGAGCAAAAATATTTAAGCAGGTCATTCGTTAGTTTAAAATATCATGAAATAATTGTTATAATTCATAATAATTACATTTGCACAAATGTGTGTAACAATTATATCAATAGGTGGTTTTGTCACAGGACCGGGAACTACTATAAATAAAATAAATACATTCTGGAAGAGTAGTTTGAACTTTTTTTTTTTAATCTATATTATTATTAATGTATATACTACTATCAATATGCTATCAATATTAAGCTTTGGACTGGAAATTGCAACAACTATGAATAAATAAATGACAAATAATTCCTACCTGTACTTCAGAGGAAGATGTGACAAATCAATGAACTTCCCTCCGTCCCATTCATTTTAGACGGTGGTATTGCTAGTTGCTGAAAAAAAATAGGGGTCTGCAAGTATATATATAGTGCCAGTATATACTACTATCAATATGCTATCA